CAAAAAATAAACCTTTACAATGATTTTTGAGAAAAAGAAAAATCAAGTCAGAACATTTACTATGTAGAATAAGTTCAATATGTACCCATTATAGCAGTGGGAATGAATGCCATGCTATTATAAAGAGAATTTAAGAACATATATTTAATTGAGAACAAAAAGAGGAATAATGTARATTATTAACCTTACTGAAAGCAAAACAAGTATTTCATTTGCATTCTTCCAAATACCAAAATTAACATATCACTGTTTCAACGATGAGAATAACATTGAAATTTTATGAAATGTGAAGCATAAACAACTAGAAAAATAGATATCAAAACATACATTTAAGATCTTTCACATTTGTTCATTCACCATCAACTGAGAAGGATGAAGTAGAGCTTTCTAGGATTTCTTGCAATCAAGATGTGGAAGCTTACCACYGTTGTCAACCTTTTTATGAACAGTGTACTAATTGATAGCATAGGAAAGATGTGACATTTCACTAGAGAGAGCATAGAACTAGTCAAAGTCTTTCCTTGCCACTGAGAAGTGGTTTGATTTTGTTAGTTACGCTGTCTCAATCTACCATTTCACCATATTTTATGTTTAGGTTTCAAAGTGACCCAATTCATATTATGAAAGGTTTAATACATGCATTGAAATTAGTAACTTTGATCATTTCTGCTAAGAAGAAAAGTGTTTTATTGCCTCTGAAATATCCTCCTCTTCCCAGGCAATAAACTGGCAGTGATGGTGATGTGGTTATGAGGCCAGTCTGTATTGCAGAAAGGCCGGGTACTGATGTACAATAATTAACAAAGTAATTGTCACATTATAACACCATATCTGTGCACTGCAACTCTTGTGTCTCACCACTTAGGTCTTCTTTTGTTTCTGTGCTTTTACTCCTGTCTCAGTTACTTAAAAATGAGATGGGAATAGTATTTCCCTGATCATTTTGTATGTTTGCACATACCTTGTTCTATTTAAAAGGAAGCCTGAGGGACAGGGCATCTCTTGCATTTTGTAAACACATCATCTTTGAAAAGAGAACAGTTTTCGCTAGGTGTTTTGACATAGTCGTTATGGAAAGAATAGATTTGGTATTTCTTTCAACTTATTTCATTTGCATTTAAAGGAAAGGAAGAAGAAATTATTTAGATTGATGACTCTACTAGGGAGAATATTTTTTTAATATTTGATATCTTTAAGAATGGCATTTTGCTCCTAATCTTGTGAARTGTCTCTTTATGTTGAGCTGAACCAGACAGAAAAAATTATGAAAGATGATGAGAGAATCATAGCCAATGAAGAAAAATCAGTAGATCATCATCATTCTTAAGAATAAGTTATTATTGCAGGTGAACTACAGGATGGGATTCTATAGCTGTGGGTTTGCAAAGAAATCCATACAAGAAGATATGTATTGAAGACGGAAAGCTTCTGTGCTAGAGAAAGAGAGAAGCAGAAGGAATAAGCATTGTGGTGTCTTTGGAATAAARCAGTTTTATGACTTTTAAAATACAACAGCAGAAGAACTTAAAGAACCTCATATTAAGCACAACTCCTTATCTAATGGTAAGTGATAATAAAACAATATGCTATGATTCCTGGCAGAAGTAGCTGTAATCCACATCTGTATAATTTCCAGYAAAATGTTTCTAGTTTTATTCCATGGTAAGCCAATTTGCTTCATAAAAGCATAGTCAGACAGTGAAAGATCTAATTTGATTATGGAATCTGTTAGACCAAATCAGTAAATTCAGAGGAGTGAATGTGGACTGACTAGAATGGAATTCTATCTRCCTATAAACCATGGAAACCAGAGACAAAGGAATTACCTGTGTGGTACAGAAGTTGCATAAGTGAGGCTGATGTCATGGTGTATTCAATTTATTGTTGAATTGGGCAGGAAACCTCAAAACTATTTTAATTCCTTTAGCTATAAGATTTTCTATTGCTCCATGACTTTGCTCACAGTGACAGGCAGTCCTTTTACTCTATTTTTTAGCCATATAATGGAGGTAAGAAAAAAAAAAGGTTTTAGGGCACATGATCATAAACTGGATCATTCTGTTACTATTTTTTTTTCTATTGTTGAAGTCAATGTAGCTGTTAATTCTCAGGTTATTTTCTGGGTATTTCAAAAGGTGTGAGGACTAGACCCATCTGCCTGTGTGATCTACAGTTCAAGTGACAACARAGACATTTTTAGGTCTTCAGGATAAAACTATTCTGTGTGGTTGTTGTATTGTATCAGTATCAGAAAAGCCAAAAAGAAAAAACCCACAAACTGAGTAATCTCAAGAGCAGACCTATACAGCTATAATGGTTTTACACGTAATTATCTRTAACAATTTCTCGTCGTTAAATGCTAGCCTTTTAGAGATACTGRGAAATAATTCTATGTCACAGAGAATGAGATTTTTATGAAGCAAAAGGAAAGGATCTGTCCATTTACCTTGTCTATTGATGGTTTTCATTATGCAAGTGTGGCAAATGGCAATTATGTACAATGGCTGATGAAAGGAGGGAGTTCTTCAGCCTCTCCCCTGCCAGGTTTGAACAGAACTTCAGAAAGGGGATGGGGTAGTTTTTCCTCCCCAGAGTTGGGCACACGCTGTGTGCCTCACGCCTGAATGGGACTGCAGTGAAGGAACCAGTTTCTGTATCCCCAATGGGGAAGAAAAGAAATGGTATGAAACCAACCACTGAAGAAATGGTGTGAAACCAACCCAGAACAGGATCGTGCTCATATGTTTATACACATCCATTCAAGAAATTTACTCTGTCCTTCACCATTTGCCATCTTTTTTGTCTCTACTTTCTACTTTGATCTCTTCAAGCAAGGGTCTGCTTTCCATTTATTCGATACAGCAGAAAAAAGGTTCACATCATCCTGTTTTKGGTATCCATTAGACACCAATGCCAGATTCTTCCTTCTCACTGTTCTCCACACACCCAGCATGCTTGCAATGGCAGCAGGACACGAGTGCTGTGTGTGTTGTGCCTCTTGCAGGGTTACCCWCCTGGTAGAGCTGCACTTCAATGTTCTGCATACAGCATAGGCAGTGCTGAATGGAAAATACCATGACCAGTTTAAAGGAAATAAAGATCTGCAGTACTYTGCCTTTGGGAGTAACCTAGATACAGACCTCACTGTGCTGGGTGTAATGTGGAAAGATGCCCTGTCTGGCATAACCATAGTCAAGAAATTCAGAGCAGGAAGGCTAAAAAATAGCACTGCCCTTCTTTTACAAGTGAGAACTGAGGCACAGTTACTTCTCCACCGAGATCAAAATGATCATCTGTGGCATGTGAAAGAAACAAATCCTAGAATAACAAATCTGAGACACTGCTTTCATGTGGGGGTTACCTAAGATACATTGTCCCTAAAAAGGACTCTGACTTYATTCTTTCCCAGTAATAAGACCTCATGGTGTTACTTATTCTTGAATATGCTAAGTTCAGCTGATTTACCTTTAGTATTTTTTATTAAAGATTAAGCATTACAAAGCATATTTTTGCACTGAATTTGACACAACATTTTTGGAGTTCATGAATCTATTAAGCCCTGAACACTCTCTAGTGTATTAGACGACACTAATGATTTACATTATTTTGACGTTGCAAATGAGTTTTCAAGGGTAATGGATTTCATATAGAGAGATTAAAAGATAACATTCCTTCCTTTATGCCCGCTGACTTCTTTCCCTCATCATACTACATTTAGCAAAATGAATAAGGCAGAAAGGATGCTGGTGTACTTTTATGCTAATTAATGCATTTTAATTTCAAATAGCATTTCTGAAAAAGAGATACACTCCAAAAAAAGTGGTGCCAGGGCAAAAACTAATGAATTTTAATTCTTTTCAGTATACTTATGCTTTCATGAATTCTTTTTGTTATATTCTGGTGCATGAGAATGCATCAGTAGGCACTCAGAGCATGCAGCCCACAGATCTGATTTTTACAGAAATCCAGCTTAACTCACTTAGCTACATAATAAAGTTACCTCAAAAGGGTTATTTTTAGTGACCATTTGAGTAATAGCTAGAAAAGTATACCATTCAGGAATGAAGATTTTAAAATATTTTTTTAAAACAACACAAATGACAATAAGTCTTTGTGCACAAAGGACATATTTAACTGTCTAGTACCTAAATTGTGTTATTCTCACACAAATTTTAAAGGTGGGCCACTCCTGTCCCGGTAAGGATGCAGCTGATAATTCAGCCTTGCTGCAGTTGAATTGCTTAAAGCAGTGTGATGTATCCTCTAGGCAGTTAAACTGGAATTTTCACTGCACTGACCCTGCTCTTCCATATCTTGGAGCACCTTGGAAAACCCTTGGCTTCTTGGGAGTGAAAATGGTTCTGGTGGTGCTATAAAATGGAAATCTCCATGGTCTCTGCAGGATACCCATGGCTGCTGGAGCTGGGTCAGTGACTGAATTCTAATGCTGATGGTGGGGGGCACAAGGAACAGCCCTTTTTAACTGCAAGRTCCGTGGATTGCACTGCTCAGATCCCAGACAATTCCAATAACAGTTCTTAGCTCAAGGCCCCTCCAGGCACAGATTTACTGGCCATACACTGGCCTGCTGTAATTTACTTGTCAAGAACAGGGCACAATAAACCATTCTGTGCTTTATGTAACACTCGTCATAACAGCAATATAAAACCAACGACACGGCTGAGGAGGATTGTTGATATACATCAGAACAGATCATTAAATGAGGTTTCTTCTACTTCCATAACTGTAGCATACCTGGGTGCTTGTATGAGGCAAGAGCACTGGCCATAAATTTACTGCATTGCAGTAAAACCAACAATGCAGAATTCCACAGAGCCAGGCACATTTCATATTTGATTTGCTAAGTGAACAGACAGAGAAAATATGCCCCCAAAAATATTTTTTATCACATTGCAATAGTTCTTGTTTGTAACCCTCTAAAACCTCCACTGTAACAGTTAATCCCTGCCCTCTATAGTAACTCTGTATTATCATTCCAGGTACCTCGGAATAACAAGACCTCTTACATACCCTGTAAGGCAGAATGGGAAGTGTATGGCCAAAATGATCCTGTGTGTGTGGCTTTTATCTGCCTCCATCACCATACCCCCGCTCTTTGGCTGGGCTCAGAACGTAAATGAYGAAAAGGTTTGTCTCATCAGTCAAGACTTTGGCTACACCATTTACTCCACAGCAGTTGCATTTTATATTCCAATGTCAGTGATGCTCTTCATGTACTATCAAATTTACAAAGCTGCCAGGAGGAGTGCTGCTAAACACAAGTTTACTGGTTTTCCCCGTCCGGAAGAAATGGACGGGATTTCTGTGAATGGAGTTGTAAAACTGCACAAGGAATCTGAAGAATGTGCTAATTTTTCACGACTCCTAAAGAACGACAAGAAAAACATTTCCATCTTTAAAAGAGAACAGAAAGCTGCCACCACCCTTGGGATTATTGTTGGAGCTTTCACTGTCTGCTGGCTGCCCTTTTTCCTCCTCTCGACTGCCAGGCCCTTCATCTGCGGCACGGCGTGCAGCTGTATCCCACTGTGGGTGGAGAGAACTTTTCTGTGGTTGGGCTATGCAAACTCTCTCATTAACCCTTTTATCTATGCCTTCTTCAATCGGGACCTGAGGACAACCTATCGCAACCTGCTGCAATGCAGATACAGGAACATCAACCGCAAACTCTCCGCTGCGGGGATGCACGAGGCTCTGAAGCTTGCAGAAAAGCCAGAATTTGTTCTGTAAGGGCACTGATCCTCTACCGTGATAATTTGTTGTTTTATCATGTTAGCTTTTCCCCGCCAGATTCAAAAAATGAGTTTGTAGGAAGAACCAGGCTTCTTGAGCACTGCTGATGCAGTCTTCAAGAAACTGGAAGGGAACAAGGTAAAGCCCACCAGCCCTAATCAGCCTGGAAAAACAAGATCACCATCTAAAGGATTTGGGTGTAACAGGACTAGAAGAAAGGAGAAGGGTGAAATGTGGTGCAGGATGTTTGAGTTGTTAGTGAGGAAGAAGCAAAGTTGGCCTAACCCATTTGTTTGACCCAAAAAATGTTTAGTAGATCTGAATGTTGGATGCATCTTGTGTCCTAGATATTGTTTGCTGTCAAGACCAGAGAATGGTGAGAAGTTAATTTCTTATCACTTTGTTAATACAAAAATAAACCATTTAAGAAGAAGCTGTATCAAAGAACTTCTATTGCTTATAAATACTCTTTATTATTAAACCCCATATGTTCCTTAAGCATTAATTTACTGGATTGCCTGGAACTGAACAATGTTGTGAAATTTAATATTGCCTTTGCAAAGCAACTCTAACACTAAAGAATATGTTACACTTCCAATGTGATAATAAGAGTTTGAGTAGAGTCCTATGGACCAGCAGCTACTGCTGCATGCAGCACAGGCAGCTGCCGTGCTGCTGTGCTAATCACACCAGGTAATCTTGATTTGTATTTCCAATATAACAAATGTGTTTGATTACAGTTTATTTCCGAATCTGTCTGATCTTTAATCTGTCTTCACTCTTTAATTCTCTGCTTTCTGAGCTGAACACTTCTCTAATCTAGATGGACACTCTGCCTGTGCTCAGATCATTYCTATTGATGTATGGCTAGCCCTTGTTCCACTTCAGTAGTTAATTTACTGTCTGTTTGAAAGCTCCTCTACGCTTTGGGATTTCTTTCTCTTCTGAAGTCAGTAAGGAAAAAGTAAGCTTAAGACCTTACGACTTCAGAAACATCTGGACTTTATCCTTACAAACTGATTTTAATCATCACTTGTGCTTAAAAGTGACTTAAAGCCTTACCCTGTGTAAGAATAAAGATAATTTAGTTTTTCTTGTTCTAGTTTTTTCTACCATCATTGCAATTTGTCCAAGTATGTGATCCCACTTCTCCGGTAACTGTGGTAACAAATCTCTTCCYGTAGTGGAGGAGGGCCAAACATTATAACAGCGTTTTTTATTAATAAAAAAACTATAAAGATATTGATTATATTAATATATTACTAGTAATGTATTAATATAGCATGCACTGATTTTGTAAGATACTATTATAGTAACTTACAATAATAATAAATCAACTCATAAGATCAAGCTGAGTTATTTGGCCCAAGTTTGCGCTGCACACCCTGTTCCAGCTGAAGCAGAGGGTGAGGCTATGTTGGTGAACAAAGACTGCTTCAGAGCTTGATCTACTTTTTCAGATGTTGGGCCATCAGCGAGAAGCCATGCTCATTATCAAATTGCCTCAGCAGCAAATCACACTTCAGGCTAACTTCTGTCCCCGCTTTCTCAAGTATGAAGCCAAAGTGAGTCAAATGAGCTCAGTGATATTAATTTGGGCTAAGCAGTGAGATGTCAGTGCCAGCTCCCTTGTTCCAAGCATACAGGCATAATTGCAAACACTCGAGCCTCTAAGTGGCAGATAGGCAAGAGCTGGATGGATGTGCTGAGCTATGTGTGCTGAAACACGCTTAGGTCATTTTAGATCCATTCATCCACTACAAAAGGGAGTACATTTGGGCCTCATTTTCAGGAAAGGATCACAGCTTTGTAAGAGACTGTATCCCAGATTCAAAGCAGTTTTCTAGAGAGGTTTCAAATGGATTTAGAACAGTCCTATTTATTTTAAATGCTTCAATATTATGCACAAGGACAAGAAGATATTTGGGCCCAGAATATCAACAAGCTCTGGAGCATGGAGTAGAGCTCATGTTAACTTAAGCATATTTTCCATATTCAACATGAAATTAATGTTGTTTCTTTGTTGCCTATCAGAGTAGTGATTTTTTTCAGCATAAGTGAGAAGTTTTCAAGGCCTTCTGTAAGCTTTTTCTCTGTGTAAGGATATACAGTGGAATATAAAAATAGATATATCTGTGAAGACTCCAAGTGGGACTATAAAACTCTAAAGGGAATTTTASAATTGTGGACAGAAGTTTCAATGTTTTTATACTGCAGGAGAGTCTGAGAAGCTGTATTTCCTCCAAATAAGATTTTTTCTATTTTTTTTTTAAATGAAATATGTGTCTTGTGAGTCAGAAATTGACATTTGCCCAGCTGTCACTAAAGGCAATTGCTTTCCTCTGGGAAAACATCCTGCAGAACTCCAGCTTTCCTCAACCATCTGTTTCAGGTAATGAGAGCCCAGGAAGGAATAAAAGAGTTGTTATGATGTGTGTACCACTCCTTSGAGATTTTGGAGACAAACATTCATATTTCATCTCTGGATGTGTTCAGAAAGAAAAGAAAAACTAAAGAAAAAAAACCAAAACCAAACTACTACAATGTTTCTTCATACACCCGAAGTATARATAAATGGAAGGTGCTAGATGTAGCTGTATTTGAGAGGAAAAGTAAAGGATTTGAGAAGATTAGAAGAATGTCCCATCGTCCAAGCAAGCACACAGAGGAGGGAAACTTGAGAAGAAGAGAAAGTTTTCAGACAGAATTCTGATGGAAAGGGGTTTCAATTAGAAAAACAAAGAAATAATTGTTTGGGTTAAATTTTTCTTTAAAAAGAAAAATAAACAGAACTRTATTTCATTATCTAACTGCAACAGTAGCATTTTTTTTGACTCAGATAATTCACTACACTTCTGACAAGTGTGTAACATAAGAACAGGGAAAGAGAAGTGCATGTCAACGTGTGCTTTTATCAAACTCAAGAAGAGACTACGCTCGGTCAATGTGCTCTTACACGTGTTTCTAGAGGGAAGCCAGAAGGGTGAATCAGAAAGAAGRGGGTGTGAAAAAAATGGTAATAAAAGACTCCAAGAACTAGGCAGAGCACAGGCAGGCCACCATAACACTGACTAAATGAAGTGAAAATTGTGCTCCCCGGCTTGCTTARCACTGTTTTTCAGAGGGAGACTGCCTGTGGCAGAAACCTCGTTCCTAACACTTTTCCCAGCTCCCACCACCCACCAGCCTGTACATCTAATACTGTAACACAGTAYTGGCACTTGCCACACTCCTCTGGTTAGTAAGAGTCTTACTGAGTAGTAAYAGAAATAGCAGAGTAGTAAAACATATGATTTGATGGTAATATCTTATTATTATGCATCTACTGCTTTTAGTTTCAATTTTATCAAAAGAAAAACATCTTTCATGTTCTGTTCAGAGCTAGCACCACCTGCAGAAAGATGTTTCAAACAGTGGGCAATAAATCTATTACAATGAGGTATAAAGAAGGGAATTATTTATCAAATTAATGCCACAAATAATGCAGACAAAATCTACTCACTCTCTCACCCCTCCTCCATGGCAGGAAAACAGATTTCCAGGCAGCCGTTGCTCCAGATTGCACAGCATTATTGGAAGAACATTACTAAGTTTTGGATTATTGACCAAGATGCTGTAGTTACAGAAGTTGAAGGTATTGGAAGCCATGCAATTGGTTTTCTTGCTCTCCCCTAGCTAATGATTTCTCATACTAATTTTCTTATTTTTCAGGAAAAAAAAGCTTTTTAAATTATGGTATTCTCAGAAAATGTGTAAGATGTGTCAAATCCTCTTCACAGTTTGCTTAGGAACGAGTTCTTGTCTCTTAAAACATTTCTCAGGAAGACACAGAGATAGAAGGGAGAAAGTTAAGAGACTTAGGGTATGGTTTTCATGTGGAAAATTATTAATAACCTAGAATAGAAGACACCTCTTATTTCAAATGGTGAGGAGGTACAGATTATGAGCACTAGATTTTTTTTTAAGAGCTCAAGCAAGTAAATTTAAAAATAGCCTAAGAAATGCTGCATCAGAAGAGTAATCTTAACGATTTGCAAGTAATACAAACTTAGGTCCCTCTTCACAGTTTTAAGTCTTTGAAGCAGCTATTACCACTAAAGAGTGAGTTCAGCATGAGTTTGAAGTGAATTATATTTCCTCTATCCACTTCCTCAGCATTTTGCCAAATGGGCCTGTCATTCCCCACACTCACTATTCAGATGCTCTGCAGTGTTGCTGAATCCCTTCTCACACAATGATATTTCCAGAAGGACAGAATGGCTTTTATTTGCTGAAAATTGAAAAGATGCTTATGACTCCCAGATTAATTTCTCACTGCTGCAAGCAAAAAATCCCACATTGAGATATGTATAAAATATATTAATATATGATGATTATAGGGGATAATGTTTTGATCATTTGTGTAACTTTGTGACTTTACTGATTGAAATTTCTGTCATTTGTGATCTTTCACATAGAGGTAGTCAAGTTACTTAAAAAAAAAAAAAGCGTACAAATATATCAAAGTTTCCAGAAGAGATCACACAGTTTTATAAAAAACTTTGCATCTTTGGCTAAACTAACCAGGTTTGTGTTAAAACAACAGAGATTCCTCAGTCAAATCCACCATCCTGGAGATGGTTGCAAGGAATATATAAAAATTAGGCAAATTAAATGAACATTTACTTCCCACCAATAGTTGCAAAAGCAGACAAATCCAGAAATTTTATTTCTATCTTCAAAGAAAGCAGTAAACACAAGAGAAAGTCATGCTAAGGACTTTTCACTTGCCATTACAAGAAAAAAATCTGACGTTCAAATATACATACAAAGTTAATGCTACAAAACAACAACTTTTTTTTTTTTTTTTTTAAGACTGGTATTCTCTTTCTGAAATAATCTCCTGGCAGCCCAGAAAAATAACATTCCCTAGCAAAATATATAAAGTCCAGAATTTTATTCTGGCTAAAAACCTCTAATTAGCTAAAACATGACAATTTTTTTWAAAAAAATCTTCATCTTTCCCTTATAGCTAATTTTGTACTTGGATGTAATTACCTGCCTTCCTTTAATTTGGTTCAATTTTTTGCCAGGATGTGTTTTCATGTAATAAAATAATTGAAATAAGTGAAAATGCAGGTTTGTCTGTAAAAACTCCTGCTCCTGAAACATTTGAAGACATAAAAATTCCATGGTTTCAACAGGCTGGCTATAACAAGACAAAACAGCACCTTGCTGCAAGGTACTGAGAGGGATGCCCTGAAACCCTGTCTTGTCATCTGCAGATGTTTGTGTTGCAAGATTTTAGCCTGGTTGCTGTACAAGAGTGGTTCTTCCCTTCACCCAGCTTGGGAAGAGAGGCAGGAATTTGTATATTCCATGCAAAGATTTTGCAGTAATTCTTTATCTGAAAGTGAGGAAGAAATGGTTGTTATTGCTCTGGCTCCTCTCTCACACCCACGAGGTKTCCGTGAGCAGTGGCAGGGGAAGGTTTGTGCTGCCACCAGAGGCTGGAAGGCTGGGCCAATGCAGGGCTCTCCATAAAATCATCTACATTTAATGGAGGAATTTCGGGCTTTTGCCAGTGAATTGTGTAAAATTGACTGAGAATTTCCTCAATTCTCACAGAAACCCAAAATATGATGAGTACAAAGGACTGAAAGCCCCCAGAAGGCACCACTTTCCCTCAGTTTCCTCCTTTGTGTGGAGTTTTAGAGAATTACCTCAATAGACATGATCTAATTGCCTCTTGAGAAATGTTTCCATTTATTTCAGTGGTATATTTGGTCAGAACATTTAGCTGCTCCAGGATATTTATCATCTAATTCATCCACTTTTTTTTTTTAAAAACAGGAGAATTTCTGATTTCTCCGGGGAAAAAGAGTCATGACCAAATGTGCTTCAAAGCAGCCAGAAAAAGCCAAGCCAGATCAGAAAGAAGAAAAATGAAGAGTTGGCTTCCGAAGGACTGGATAGATTTATGAAATGTGCTTCATATCTTCTTCTGGTGGAAATATACTAAAAATACTCCATGAGCTCAATACATYGCATTAAACACATTTCTATTGGAAAAGTCACATCTTGTTTGTCATGGAGGAAAGTGCTGCATACATAAATGAAAATAATTTTCTGCCTGAGAAAGCCAAATAATTTCAGCAATAAGAGTTTGACACAAAGGGTGGGGGGAAAAAACCACTAAAACTCAAAGATAAAGCAGTGCACAGATTTCCATCACATTAAACTATGTGGAATATTCACATCTTTACCATGCTTATGGACTCCAACATTGACATTCATATTCAGGGATTGTCACTGACACTGAATGTATTTTGCTGTACTAAAAAAAAAGGKTTTCAGGTAATTGTTGTCTCTGTGGATGCTTTCAGAACTTGTGTTAAAGAGATGCTGTGCACTTGCAATGGGATTAAGAATGACAACAATAAAATAGCAATTTTTGTTAAAGCTTTCTGTTGCATTAAGTAAATGTCTGTTACTCGTTAACATACATGTGGTTGGCTCTCCCTAACTTTTGTAAAAAGCTGCTTTTGTTTGTGGTATGACAAAAGTTGAGGAACAGAATTAGAATGCACGAGTATTACACAGCCAATTTACCAATAYGATTGCTTTGATTTCATGCAATTTTCATGATCTGCCAATTCATAAACTTCTGTCTTTTCAACTCCGATAAGTATAAAAGGCTGAAGAATTCCCATGGCACTTTGCTTTTTGTCTTACTGGCTGGGTGGAGAGAGAATTAATTGCTATTTTTTATAACGTGTTTAAGGAATGTTATTTCTGCCAATGATTTGTTATAATTAACACAGATCCCTTTGGCATGACAAAAATTAAACAGGTAGGTATTAATAATCATTTGTCCAAGAAAAAATTGATTCAAGGGATTGTCCTTAAACACACCCTTGAATATTTTTTTTTCAAGCTTCTCATACTAATTTTCCCTTGGCATTTCTGAGCTATGCACGGTTTTACAATGCACAATGCAGAGGCACGTCCCATTCCTAAAGGCTGTTTTCTTTAAAGGCACACCTCAATCAGCACTTGCCTTATTTCCACAGCTGTAGGATTTGTGGTAACTTAGTCTCTTACTTACTTACCAACTCTGCTGGTAAATCATCCAGTGGCT